GCAGCTGAGAGGTCGCCGTGCCCGGTGTGGACATGCTGGGCATCGGAGTCGAGGATGAAGTTCCCGTTGCGCGGACCGTTGACACAGCGGCTGGTGTCATTGTCGGAACGGGTGTCGTGACGGCTTGGACTTGAGCATGCTGCATCAGTTCTTCGGTCACCAACAGTTCCCATGCTGTTTCGGAGGTCTCCGATTAAGCTTGAAGTCCTGGAGCTTGACTCGGTGATGGAGGATTGCGCATTGTTCCAGCTCTTGCCGGACTGAAAGCGCCTCTCTGATTTGGAAGCTGTTCTAAAACAGCTTCCAACATGGCCCTCTGGCTCTGGAGTTCGATGAGCATGGTCTGGAGTTCGTTGACCGGCATGTCCCCCTCGGCATCGATGGCTGTCGGATTCTCCATGATCTGGAGACTGCAATGCAGAAGCATCGAGAGGACTTGGACTAGGACCTCCGACACCTGTCGAATCCCCCCTTGATAAAAGGCAAGCATCCATCCCAGGACCCTTATGGATCTGCATTGCCACAGCATTTGGAAGCATTGGCTGGCCAGCCTTTAACACCTGCACACCACAGAGCATTCATATTTGCTATCCAAGGGGGCTTGGAGTTTTGTAGCAACAGCCTGGGGATGCCTCACTGGCAGAACAAGTATCCATGTGCTGAATGCGATGCACAAAGACCAACTTTCAAAGGCATCAAATGCCCTGAAGGCAAATCAGTGAAGGAGCTGAAAGAAGAGCATCAAGACTTTGTTTATGTCACTCCTGAGCAAGCCCTCCTTGATAAAAGGAGTGGTTTGCATCCCCTTTTTGATGTGCAGGGGATCAGCACTGCACTGGTGAGGGGGACTCACTTCACATTGTACATTCAAGGGGGGTTGCATCACACCTTGCAGGATCTCTCTTGCACTACCTGTGCTTTTTCGATGGAGTTGGAGCAAGACAAAAAATTGCACCAGCACAAAGGCTCCAAAGAATATTTGCCAGAATCAAGGAGCTTTATAAAGAACTTGGGTTTCCTCAAGGCTGACCAACTTGCGATTGTCCATGATCTGTGATGCTTCTAAACCACATGCCCAGCATGCCTGCCTTGAAGCCAAGGCTGGAGAGACAAAGCATTTCCTACCTCCACCCCTCCAGGTTGCCAGTGAGGCTTTAGATGATGAAGAGCCTATTCACCAAACTATGATCAGTTGCCTGGAGGCAATGGTCAAGATTGATGCTCACTATGATTCCATTGGGATCTTTCCAACTTCTTCACAGTTTTAGGAGGCTTGCAACCTTGCTAAAAGGGTTTTCTCCACTTATGCTGACCTCCACCAGTGGGCCTTGCTAAAAGGCAGGAAGATTTTCCACATTACCCACAAATTTCACGGCTACATGCATCTCATCCACAACAGTCAATATCTCAAATACAGGATTCACCACAATTATCGAGCTGAGCATTTTGTGGGCCAGCTGAGTGTCCTGGCCCATTCAATTTCTTTTGGTGTGAAGACATCCAAGTTATGTGTCAAGATGGGTGCCAAGTACAGAGTCTTGATGCACATGCAGCTGAGTCATCCTGGCTTTGGGAAGGTGGAAGAGAACACCTCTGACCCTTGATAAAAGGGTGACACCTACCTTTTAAAAGTGTTGTACTCCTGTCCCTTGCTGAAAGGGACAGGAAAGCAGCTTTGTTTCCACTCAGAAAAAAGGGGTATGAGAGAACACCTTTGGGTCACACCTACCTTTTAAAGGTGTAGTACTCCTGTCCCTTGCTGAAAGGGACAGGAAAGCAGCTTAAGTTTCCACCCAGAAAAAAGGCTGCGCAGCTGTCACTTCCTATTGATTTTCCTTTTGATTTGGCATGCCAAACCAGGGTCTGATTTTATTGATTTAATTGATACCATTTTCTTTGATTTTAATACGATCAAAATCAAATATGTTCTATGGAAAAAAATCAATATCAATAGAGATTTGACCTTATTGATTTAAATCAATAGCCGATCCTCAGGGTTACTCCCTTCAACAATGCCCTCGAAATCGGTTGGTCGATCGACACTGGCCTGAGAGGCATCGGAAAACACTTCCAAAACATCTTCAGCTGGATCCGAAAGGCTTTCCAAAAGTGGTGGAATGCCTGAGTCAAAAGATGCTTCAGCCAGGTTCGCACTCTCGCGGGTCTGAGTGGTGCTTGAGTTGGCACGATTTGGACACTCAGCCCGCCAGTGTCCGCGTTCACCGCAAGCTCGACAATGTGATCTAGCGATCCGTGCCAAGAGCTGTTCACGCTTCTTTCCCTTGCCTCCTCCCTTCGCAATCTTACCCTTTTTTCCTCCTTTGGAGTAGGGATTTGAACTCGACTGCACTGGCCAGAATCCTCGGGTCTTCCGCTTGTCTTGCAACTTCTGTCTCGCATCAATGTAAGTCACCAATGCATCATGCATCGATGGAGTGTCCTGCAGAAACTCTTCCAATTCCTGTTCGAATTTTTGCACTGCGCAAGCGTCCTCGTCGTTCTGGGCGACTAGTGCTTCAATGTAATCTCCATCAACTTCGTCGTCCAACGCAGTCAAGAAGGTGAGTGCTTCCGTCGATGACGCTGGATGCGAGACCCCTGATTCTGCATCATGGGAGGCAGCAAAAGCCGGTTCGCTATCACATTCTGTCAAATTGACATCATAGACCTTAGTCTTTGAACTCTTGTTGCCCTGCAAATCTTGGAAAAAACGGCTGCCCAGCAAACGAAAGGCCTTAGTGACCTCAGGGTACCTCAACTTGCCACCTTGGTCAAGAACAATCTTCTTGCGGTCATCGGGTAACAATGTCGACTGGCGTAAAAGGACATACGCTCGAATCTCCTCAAGGGTCGTGCCCCTTGCAAGCAGCTCGTCAAAATGCACCTCTGATCTGGCGACATACGAGTCGTGACTTTCGTCGCTCTTCTGCAGGGTGCCATAGAGGGCTCGCTCAAAAGTTTCATACTGTTCTTCCAACATGGTCATGCCCCAGGATCCACCTAGAGTCTCAACCAGGGTGATGACCCCGTCAACTGAATTGGTCTTCAACTTTTCAGGTGAAATCCTCATGACCTTGTGGAAGGCCGCACCTTCAACCAACAACGCCGCACGGGGCGCTAGCACCTCAAGATGCTCCTTTGGCCAGATGCTGGCAATGAATTTCATCTTTTGAGTGTATTCCTGGACATTCGTCGTTTCAGGAATGAACTTAGGAAGACTGGACCATGGGAGCGACGTGGAACTCGACACGCTGCTCGAGGCCTCCTCGGGAACAGGAATCGACGATGCATCCGCTGGTGGAGGCATTTCAACAAGCCGTCAACAAGGCGTGTCGCCTTCAATGCTCAATGTGTCAATTGCCCAACTTAATGCACCCTTTCAAAGTCTAAAGCAACAGTGTCAGCCCACCGACAATGTTCGCCTGCAATGAACAATGCACCGATGCTCAATGTACAACACCAAGCAGCAACACATTCCAGCAATGTACAATGCTCAATGTGATCAGCCGATGGTCAACACCAAGCAACCAACAGAGCAACCAATGTCAACGTTGTATGACGACACGCAACAACGTGATGCAAGATCAAAATTGAAGCTGTCCGGTGGAGTCCGCTCAAAATGCAAGAACTGTCAACCGTGTCCGGTTATCGTCCGTTCGAACGCAAGAGCACGACCGTCACACTGGTCAGCAAAGCCCTGGATCCCACTCTTCGGAGCAACAGGCTCCGCTACCAATGTGAAATTGGTAGCGGGCCAACCTCAACAACAACAGGTGGAAACCCCGTTTCCAGTGAAGCCCTGCTTCAAGAGGAGCACAACCTCAAAGGAATGGACCCTGTCCAAAAGGCTGGAGCACCGCTCCACCGCAGCCCGCCCTATGGCTCGCGCTTCTCCTCAAGCGCTATGGCTCCCAGCCCTCCCACCTCGAGCCCCTTCTGGCATCGGTGAGAGTCAAGCGTGACGAGACACCTGGAGATCCTAGGCTGGTGAGTATACACGTTTCACAGGGAAGATTGCCGCATACATAGCTATACACCCTAGAAGTCCAAAGACTATACTTTTCTATCGTAAAGTAAAAGACATTCCTTTTCAGGCACCCTAGTCAGACCATTCTTTTTGTAGTCATTGACTCTGAGGGTTGCATATCCTAACATTCACCTCGACTTTGGGAGCTAAACTATAGGGAGACCTCCAAGTTTGACCTACAAAAAGACCTGCTTCGGAACATCGACAACCAGTCTACCGTCACAGTCTAGCATCCCTGGGCGATTCCCTATACCAATACACCACACCCTCTTGGACCTTTTCAACCCCAGTTCTGGGCGTTTCCGACCCCCTTCCCCCCCCACCCAGGGTCGAAGGGTTGAGGAAGGCCCCAGGAACGGCCAGGAAGCGGGAAGGTCGATGCGGCCACCGCAGAAGCGAAAGAACCACGACGTCTGGTGTGGTGCATTGGGGGCGTGTTTATAGCTTGACTTGGCCACATGACTTAACCCATCCAATGGACAGAATTGGGTCCTTGGGTCCGGTGTACCGTGGAATATATATGTGTTCAACCCAGTTTAAATAGGATCACAAAGCAACTTGGAGATGAAGACATGAAGCTGGTCCGGTCTGACCGATGGCTAGCATGGGTTTGGGGTGCCTTCCCGTCTTTGTATGCTATTCCCAAGAAACTGCCTTCACACCCTTAGCACCGGAACGGGTACCGCAGTCCGAATATGTCTGTGACTGTCACACCTCTCCGCACCACAGTGGGTCATCATCCCCCCGCCACTGGGCCCTGCGGTTGAAGAAAGAACTCCTGCACCAAGAACTCGTGCCGGATGCACATTCTGTGCCATCTGTGCCTGGGTGTTTTCCAACAACAGCACCATCAGTTAGTTTGATCGTTTGTTCCTGCCTTTGGTGTAGATGTTGTAGAACGCGACCAACCCAACGATCCCGGCGATGCCACCGGATCTTTTCTCCATCGTCCCAGATGTTGCTGCCAGGCGTCCCGTATTGGCCAGTAAGCCAGAAGGGATGCCAGAATCATCAAGACCATCAGCAGCTTCAAAAGGGAAGAGCCTCCACTCTTCTTGTGATTCGTCGGCAGGTCGTCCTGCTCATCCTGCGCTTCAGCCAGTGGATTTCTGAAGGTGGTTCTTCAAGGAAAAACATCTGTTTGGCAAGGAGCATGGCCAACTCCCATCTCTTCCAGACAACCCACTGGCGGGACACCGGCGGGACACCGGCGGACCCAACAGGGAAAACCGCTCGTTGTTCACGGTGGATGATTGACTACACTTGATTGGGCGCAATGGGGGCTACCACTCTACAGTGAGGCACCAGTTAACCTTCAGTGGAGCTTGGACACATCCAATCTAAACCTTTAATGAATCGTCTCCAAGTGTTTCTCGTGACCTGCGCTGTCACCTGGACCTAGAGGAGACCTGGACCATGGTCATGGAAAGTCGATTTCCTCAACAAAGACCCTGCCAAAAGGTTCATGCCACTCCCAGTCCCGGAACGGAACTGACGGACGGAGGAAGTCACCCTCTTTTCAGCATCATCGTCACTCGCGAAGCTCAGGGTGATGATACTACCAATGCACGGTTGCAAGAGGTTGGCAGCCCCATTCCTTCATCTTTCTGAGCATTTCGCTACAGGCCTCCCTGACATCAAGCACATGACTGGGCGCATAGATGTGAATGTCACTTCCAGCCGCCTGTTGTCCGGCACCCGTGTCACAAAAGCGGACTTTGCCCCCAGGATGCTTTAGAAAATGAAGGCCGAAAGGACTGTAGATAGCAAGCCAAAGCTCATTTAACTTATCCAGATCACGAAGACTGTCACTGGCACTCTTGATGCCCGAGAACGTACAACGCCAGCATGTTTTGCCTTTGTTGAAGCGCATCTGTCCGTGCTTGACTTCCACTGCCACTCCTCCACGTACCCAGTTTGCAGTAGGACAATGCCTTGAAAACGACAAATTTTGATGGAGACACTGATCCAGTTCAAATGCTATTTCCTCTATGCGCGTACCACGCAATCGCGGTGTCATATGGTTCAGGGGCACTCTCTTATATGCATTGTCCTGACGAGGTGCCACTCCATCCATTTCCAACAGCAGCCAGTCACGAACTTCAACATCCGATAACTCAACGCGGGCTACAAGTTTGCAGCGACCTCCAACAAGCAGTTTCTCCAGAATTTGAGATCGCGCAGTTTGCCAACACTCTTGTCCGCTAGCACCATCAACATGTATGTCGTGACCGCTACTTGCTGTTCGCTTGCCACTTGAGGTGACTCTGGTCTGAAGGTCATGCTTGATGATATGCAAACTGTCCGGGCTGAAGATTGTGAGATACAACTCATCAAAGGGAGCCTGGTCCCGAAATCCAGGCCATGGCAACTTGATGTGCTGAAACTTGACGCGCCAATGCTTTGCGTGTTTCCCCCAAGACATCTGCGCACTCTTACACCGAACTTTGCGGCCATCCATACTAAAGTCATACTCAGCTTGTGAAGCTGACCTTCGAGCTCCATTGCAACAGGTGCCTAGACGAGGTTCCTCGATTTTACTGTCCGGATGCAGCTGGGCCAGCGTCTTCTTGCAAAAGTCGTTCAGGATCATCCCACGTCGCTTCCCAGACAGCAAGGACAGTTCATGGCCAGCATGATCTGCGTAGGCCTTGCTGGTCTGTCCTGGGTCATGAAGAAGGTGCTGGAACTGCGAGGCAGGCAGCTCTAAATAACACCTCAACTGCCATCCAACACGCAACGCGAACAACGCAATGGCTACAGGCACCCCTTGCCGCAACATTTCGGCATTCGAGCCAACATTCTTGGCGAAAAACGGCTGAGCCAAAAAGGCACTGCAAAAGACACCAGGGCCTCAATTGGAACCACATCCATTACACCGCCTATGAGCGAAGACGGGTTTGTGTTTTGGGCCGGGTGCGTGTTGAAAAACCGTGGACGTCTCCTGAAGCATCAGCCTCGGAATCTTCATTAGACTCATATTAGACTTCTCCTTCTTTTCACCTGACCTTTGAGATATGGAGTTCAACCTCACCAGTCTGCTTCGCTTTTCAGTCAGATTTCCATGGAAGGTTCGCCCGGATCTCGCGCTCCGGCTTCACCATCCAAAAGCGTCTGTTTCGCCGGTATTTTTTTCAGGCACTGACCCCCAAGCGGGACATGTCTGAAGCATCAGGTGAACTGTCTGAAGCATCTGTTCCCTGATGTTCACAGATGAAAGGTTTGGGGACTCCCCAATAAGCTATGTTCCCCAATAAGCTCCGTTCTATCAGGTGAACTGCTTCTTGGGGAGTCCCCAAATCCCCGCAAAAAGGCGTCAGGTTCTCCACAAATTCCTGGGTAGGCCAACACGGGTGTTTTCACATGCCCGACCGACGACCCGAGTTCGTTCGGAAACCACCGGAACGACTCGACCGATCTTGGACGGTGCTAGGTATGACTTCCCCCCCACATGTTTTGCCGCTCAAAGGGTCTGTGCCCACGAGCTACTCTTTTTTAAACACGATCCCAGTCGGCGAAAAAGGCTGACTTGGCTCCAGGGAGTACTCTTCCTATTTCACTGCGCCAAAAGAATCTCGTGGCTTGCGATGAAGGGCATGTTGCAATGAGAATGGCTGTAGTATCAATTTGCCGCAGTTGTTCTGCCCTCCGTTCCCCCCCCGGACGCTGCATGGCTACGCTGCACCCGCCCGACGGGCGACGCGGCACCCGAGCCCGGCCTCTCGCGTCACCTCCCCCGTCCGCAGCAGCTGCCGCGCGCGGCGCGCCGCCGCGGCGTCGAGGCGTGCGAAGGGCGCGGGCACGCCGCAGCTGTAGGCCACGACGGCCTGGCGATAGGGGGGGAGGGACTGGTAAGAAATATGGGTACTAGCCAACTGCACCAAATGGAAGGTTAAGAAAGCTTTGTAAAATGTTGAATCAAATGAACAAATTAAGCTCCATATATCTTTAAGGACCACACCGATCTTGGTTTTGCATACCATTTCGGCCGATGCTCCGGTTCGTAGTGTACAGATACAGGGGTATTTCCGTAGTCCATCGGAGGTCTCACACCACTAGTCCACCACAACCCGTTACAAAATGTAACAAGGGGGTGCGTGGATGCGCGCCTGACAAGACAGTCCGCAAGTCCGTTCATCCAGTAGGGGGAATTCATTGATATTCAATAATCAAGAGTCTACATTACTAACCAACTTCTGGATGGTTTATAAACCAACCTCGTCTGGTTTGGGGTGGCCTGGCAGGTTCATCCTCCAAACCTCTAAAATGTTCTTCTGAGGGAAGCCCAAGGAACTGGTCTAAAAAACGCTTCAGCCATCTTCACAATGGGCTCTTTAAAACATGTGCCAGCCACTTCGTCTTCAGGCTACTTAGACGAATCTGGATGAAGGCGCCAACCAAATGATGTGTCTCAAGATACGATCGCTCCACCAGGGACGACCGGAACGTCGACAATCACTCGGAAGGTCGCTTGGGCTGGCTGGCTGACGATGCTGAAACCATGTTCACGACATGTATACCAGACCAGAATAGGTATGTCCGTATGTATTCACGTATTCTGGTATGTCTGACCATGTTCCGACAGGTATACCATGTTGCTGAATCAAATCCGTTTTCAGACCAGACCAGTGAAGATGGCTTTGGGGAGCCCATGTGAAGATGGCTGAAGCCTAGTTTTAGACTTTACATTTAAAAGAGCTCTGTCATGCGCAATTAGCGTCGTTTGTCTATAGCTGCCGTGATCTGATCTGCCCTGCAATGAATTACTAATTTCATGCAGCTGTCCCTTCTAGCTGCCCTATTGTTAGTTGTAGGACATGAATAATTAATATTAGTTCGTTCTTCACGTAAATAGCAATAAATTAATGACTTAATGATATGAATTCTAATGTAAAATATGTAGATTGAACTGGAGCACCTGCAAAAATTTTGTCAGCGCTCCGAACGCCATGAGAACTCCGTACTCCTATGGCTTCAGGGTACCGGCAGAGGAGAGCTAGCTCTGAGCTCCTGAGTCTCCCGCAGGTCCCCTTCCAAAGCGAGCCACCCCCAAGCAAATTCCCAAGGTGAAACAACATAAACCTCACTAACTACGCTCCCCATCGCCACAAGCAGAATTTTCTTTTGTTGGGTTCTATTATTGCAACGCATTTCCCCGCGAAGTTTCGTTCACAACAAGCGGAGAACACACCTCAACACACCTCCGCACCTCATCCCTTTTCCAAAAACAATCCTCCAGATCCACACCTTGGCCACCTCTGCATCCACCGGCCAGCGCAGCGTCTCCCGCGCCGTGGGCGCCGCGCCGCGCCGTGCCGCGTGCAGCTGCCGCTCGAGCGCCGGGCTGGCGGCGGCCAGAAGGAGCCGCGAGGCCCGGACCGCGGTGCTCGTGGTGCCCGGTCGGTCGGGGAAGATGTGCCTCTGGAGAGATGGAGTCTTTTAGTTGTATATGTTTCTTTTTTTCTGATATTCCGTTTCTCAAAATTTACTTTTGGGGGTGTAGAACTGTGAAACAACTGATTGGATGATTGTTTGACCATGTGCATTTCCCGGTCTTAGCTCTGGGGGGATGTGAGGATCAAGTGAATTGGCCGCCCAAATAGCTGGTGGGGCCGGTCGTGAAGGATGGTGGACCACGTCCAAAACCCGGACCCATCGATACACAGAAGAGGACCCACATGGAACCTGGGTGTAGCTGTTGGAACCTGGGTGTAGTTAGCTGTTGGAACTTGGGTGGGCCAGTGAGCACTTCCACCAAAGTTTGGTTTTCTCTGCGAGTGATTCACATCCCTTCCTGGGTAGCTCAGGAGTCCGAAGTTGAGATGGATGAAGGAAGGGGTGGTGAGCTGGGCCAGCTGCCAGCGTGAGGAAGGGGTGAAGGAAGAGCTGATCCGGATCAATGTTCAGGTCTATGCTCGAGAAAGTCGAAACTTTCTCCACTTCACCTACCTATATGCTAACCATGTAAAATCAGCATGTATTCACACGTCTCCGACACCTTGCCCTGTCCGTCTGTCCACGATTTTTCAGCCAAAGGCAGAGGTTCCTCCGCAAAAGAACCCCTTCCCTTGCACCAGTCAAAACCGGCCTCGTTGTCCGGTCGACCCCCCTTACCCTTTGCGCCGCGTTGCAGGTCGCAGAACTCTGGCTGCTGGACCAGCTCCACCAACCGCGCGGAGTTTGTTCTCCCGCCGTCCATGGCGGTGAGTGGCAAGGCGCTGTGGTCGTGAAGTGTCGGTTTTGGAGCAATAAAGAAGAATCCAATGAGGCTTGAATAAGTTACTTGGTTCTTGAGGTTCTTGGACACTTTGTCTGAGATACTCTTGAATGAAAAGGGGACAGGATGTTGCCGGCTCCCTACAGAGGGATTTCTGCCTGAAATCGTTGGTCTAGTGATCGGACAAGAAGGCCAACCCTTTCGAGGTATGCAAATGCACCACCAAGAGAGGTTGAACAGCCCTTTTTGGCCCATCTCATATGTACCACAGACCAGGGTCCTAGTTCTGGTCTCTCAACCTCTCTTGGCATGTTGTTGTCCATGTTGACCTTTGGTTGATCAACTTAATCCGCTTCATCGATGGATACAGTTGCGACAACTTGATACAACTTGCCTTCCACAGGGTGGCTTTTTCTGTGAAACGCAGTCGAACGAGAGATGAATTACGAGATCTTTTGTGTCGAAAACAGGTCAAACGGCCCACAACATCCACAATAGTATAACACCTGTTTTAATTACCATAACCTGCAGTCACAAAGGGGTGCTTAATAGAAATTCGGAGTGCCCGAACATCCACTCACTGGATGGGACTAAAAACCACCCCGTCTTGTGACCCCTGGAACAAAGTTCTTTTTTTTGTGTGCCTCTTGAAGCACCTATTCCTTTTGAAGCTGAAGCCACCGTCGGTTCCACATTGCAGCACCGTCGGTCGGTCCGTCGGACCGATCCGTCGGTGTGAACACCCGTTGGGGCCACGTGTGCAGGCCGTGGAGACGTGTGAAGAAAAACAAAAACAGAAGGCGAACAACATGTCTCCTCTGGGGGATGAACTACCAGAAGGGGATTATATATCTCCAGAAGGGGATTTAACATGATTTAACTACCAGCACCCGACTGGATAAAGGTCTCCTCTGGAGGCTTTTGACCTAAAAGTCCCAGTTGCGGTGACCTGTGAAGTCGGGTGCTGGTATAGGGAAAATGAACACATCACCTGATCCGCAAAACCAGGTTCAATTGTGGGGCCGTGCCAACGGCCAGTGTTGACCAGTGAGTTCGCCACCACCGCCCGCAGGCCTGCTGGCCTCCATCAAACCGCCCGGTGGGGTCGAATTCACAGGTTGAAATTGAAAGGATCCAATGGTTTTTGCAGTGTGGAAGCTCATGTGGGACATGGACATTGATCCGTGAGTGGTGTACATTGGTGTACTATCCATTCCCTATGGATCCACATACTGAGGTACGGTGAGGACGGAGACTAAGTTCCTGGTCCGTTCGGACGCCTTCTGAGGTACGGTGGCAGTGGATCCATCAAAAAAGAACTGTTCGTCCTCCGTTTCGTCACTTTCGCCCCTCCAGTGGTCCACCCTCGGGCTGGTTTTGGGTCGGCGACCAATCGCTCACAGGTCACCGCTGGGCGAGGGAGAGTTATTACCTTTAGACTCATCACTGTAGCGGGGCATGCAAATGTAAGGCCTACAAGGCCCTATACATATTTGATAGGAGTACAGTACATAACTGAGTACATATGCCTACTAGGATTACAGTATATACATATCGATTCATATCGGTCATAATCACGTTCTATCACTTTGCTTCTTGTCCGAAAGGTGTAACATGCGTGTATTTGGAGCATGCATATTGCAGTGCACAGTTGCTCGGTCTAGGAAAGCACAATGGCAAGTCTCATACCATTGATGTCCGACAGTGGGAGTTCCAGGGCAAATCCCTCAATGTCTCATGTGTGTCACGTAGACTGCCGGCCAGCCTTCTATACCCTGGTTTCCCCTGCCTACCAGCAATGAAGTGCCAAAGTCGCCAAACAACACCCCAGCACAAGTGTCTCCCTGAAAAAGATGAGCTGAACTATATAATACTGTGAAGTTCTTCTCCCCATGATCAACCTAACAACAGCACTGGGCGTTGGGAACAAAAGGGGCCAACATTTTTTCAAGCTGATCTCTCCAAGTTAGGAACACCCCCCTTCTTTCGCTCAACAAAGGTTGAAGAACCCTATAGACTATCCCAGTAAGGTCCTATAAGGTCACTTAACCTCTGTAGGACACTAGATCACTAGGGTGGGGGTGCCGGGCACCCTCCAAGCTCTGGCATGTGGCGCGAGTCGCGCCTCCAACTCACAACCACTGGACAACTTGAAGTTGGAGAGCACCGTCAAGGCCTTGTCCATGACCACCTCATGGCACTCCGCGTGGTTTCGTGGTCGAGTCTTTCTTCGGAAAGACTCTACCAAGGCACGGCGGTGCCCCCACTTGTGAGGGAAGAAGTGAGGTCACTGCCACTTGTTCTTCTTTAAAAGAATTACTCCCACTTCTTCCTTCATGCCTTCTCTCTTCATGAAGAGACCAAGCGCAATCCACATCCACATCCACTGGATGGGACGAGCCACACCACCCAGGCCCAACATGTGACTCCTTAACCCCTCAACCCCAAAATAACCTTCCCCACACCACGGTCTCAACAGTTCTGACCTCGACTTCCATGTCCCAAACGGGACTGGAACATCTTCCAGACACGACCTGTCTGGGACTGCCATAGGACTGCCGCCCCAGACAGACCCCCCTAGCACCACCCCTGGCCTGATCGGCATATAATTATGTCTCGGTATGGCACCCCAAAATCTCGACCCCTTTCAAATGGTTTCCACCACGCCCTTGGCCTGATCGGGAGTCAGATTATGGAGGTCGCGTCTGGGCGTTGTTGTGCCAACCTGAAAACCACGGGGGTTGTTAAAGGACCATTTTCTACTGCATTCTCAGGTTCCATGTGGTTCTTGGCACCCGGGCGCCACCCTACCAACGTCAAAAAAGGGGTCCCTTTTCCACCCCCCAAACTGGCGCGTCAGCACGCGCGCGTCAGCATGCGCCGCACGCGCGGGTCGTGGCGCGCGTCCCCTTGCGTTTTGGCTGGGCTCTTCGTCGGCGGCCGAGGTGCATGGGAGCATTGCAGACCGCTGGTTTGCCCGTCCAGCCACCTCCGGACCTCCACCGTGATCTCGCAGCCCAGCTCGGAGCGCTCCAAGGAGCCTGGAGACCGAGCTGAGCTCGCTCGCTCGCGCGCACACCGGGAGACCGTCTGGATGGTGAGGGTTTTGCTGGTGAGTGAGGTGCTGGTGGCCCCCCCTGGGTTTGGGGGGGCCTGGGGCTGCCTGTTTCAAAGGGGAAGTGCTGTGTGTTTGGGCATATATCTGTGAATCACTGGTCGTCCAATAGTTTGTTGAAAGATCAGTTTTTTCGTTTGGAGGTTCACGTCTGGGACGTCTAAAGGCACCTGTATTGTTGTTTAAGGAGGTTCTGAACTTTCCACCCGTCTTAAGGTTGTCACCGAGTAGCAATCACACTGACCGATCACTCTGCCACAAAACTATCGTGTTTCCACAGCTGGGTATGAAGGATAGCAAGGAAACATATCTAACTTCACGTGATGAACCTCATGTGACGCCCTGGATGGAGCACCTTCCACAACACTAAATGGACGTTGCGTTCCAAAAACAAACACAAACACTTGTTTTGAAACATATACTGTAGCTACTCAATCAAGGCAGCTTTGGCCCGTTGGAAGGTTGAGCAGCCCGTTTTGAGAGCCCACACTCAGACTTCTTCAGAAGCAAGTGCAGTTTTTGGGCATGGCGGCATAATTATTATGTTTTAGAATTTAGCGGATTCGTTTTAATAGAACCCAGACTCTCCATGGGACTGCCCTATACGCTGGTGCCAGGGGGCCAATGGGGTGGCATATTATATGCCAGTCCCAGACAGGTCGTGTATGGGGAATTCGGTCCAAGTCCATCTGGCAGATCCTCCTCTTCCAACAGAGGTTAAGTGACCTGAACTAGGACCCTACTAAGGGCACCGAACTAGGATAGCTCTTAGTAGGGATCTTCCACCTCTGCTGGTTACTCCCCGGCTGGTTTCCGCCTCCGGCGCTGCGATTGGGCGGCCGCCACGCCGGGTCCAGCGCCGCGCCGGGCTCGGGCGCAGGTGCGAGCGGCTCGCCGGAGCGTTGCAAGGCACCTGGAGAGTGGGGATCGGTGGGGATCGGCGGATGATGTCTAGTCTTGGGATGTTGGAGGAATTGGGTGAGGTGTATAACCCAGACACTCCATGTGTGCCATATATGCCGATCAGTTGGGGTGGTTTTGGGGGTCAATGGGGCGGCATATATGGCACACATGGAGTGTCTGGGTAATAGTTTGGAAGGGATTTTGGAGGTTTTGGACTTGGGAACCACTTTGGGAACCACTTTGGGAACCTTGTCTGAGAAGGAAGGAAGCACTTCAGGTGGTCTCCCAAAACAATTGGAGAAAATTGCCAGTGATCCAAGTGTGTTGCAGCAGTTCCTGGGCATGAAACATGGCCATACATGACATGGCCTGGTCGTGGATGATTGTTCCGTGCCACAGAATCAGCAGCGACTGAGACTCATCGAAGGACTCTGCAAGAAGACTTGAAAGACTCAGTTGATTGGTTGCCTTCGATGAGTCTCAATTGAGACTGTTGGAGATTGATCCACGTACCTGGTCAGAAGGTACTTGGAACTTCCTGGCACCTACATCACTGCGTCTCCATCCTCACCATCTCAAAGGGTCTACCAAGTACCTGCTATGTCTCAGGTGTCTCAAGCTGAGCTTGGCATCCGAAGTGATCATCGATCACATGCATTTCCATCAAACGACTCTGCAAAACCCAGCAGTTGGACGAACCAAGCCGTCCCTCTGCCAGTTCGGACCTGACCTTCGGTTCGCTACACTCGGTGCTTCGGAGAAACCTCGTGAAAAGGAAGGAAGGGGGGGGGCTGAGAGTGATCGAAGCAACTGCTCCAGGGCCAGGGCGTCCGTTTTAACAAAGAGTGATGATTTTTGGAATGTGTGAATTGTTGGGGCATATATACACACAAACATTTGCAGCCTATGAACCATTGGGGGAAGCACCTGCAGGGGAGCAGTTGACGTTCGGATTCCGAACGAA